TGCCAGTCTTCCTTCCACCAAATTCTCCATCATCATAATAACCCCGGGCAGGCTACAATAGGCCAATCAGTGGCCGACGTGCCGAGTGGACAAAGTTGGACTCCATCCCCCACTAAGCGAATTAAAAAAATTAAAAAAGTGGATGTCTCCACATCGTGTATATCTATATGAGGCAATTTTATTGGCTTAAGCATGAAACAGTTAAATCTTTTTAGACACAAACACTTATATATAGTTGAAGAACTCAGCGGCCTCCGTAGTCTAGGGGTAACGTTCCCACCTCATGACTCAAGGTACGCGGGTTCAAACCTGGCGGAGGTCGTGGAATTTTTAAGAGCGGAAAAATTCAGGGAACAAGTCGCCCGGAGGGACTTTAAGCCTTGGGTCCCGTGTCGTAGATTTACGACACGTCAAAGAAACTCATGTCTCTAGGAGACCTCTGAGCAAAATTAGACAACAATTTCCCGCCCAAGTAGTTTCCAATGCCTCTGCATGGGGAAACCCACCCCTCTAATAATAATAATAATAATAGTTGAAGAGCTTTATTTTACTTATATCTATGTAAATGCACACGAAAATATTCTCTTTCCCCTTTGTTAGTAATTTTTTACACTAGAAGGAACGCGTTGGCAATAGACAATCGGCTACATTACTCTTTTGCTGAAGTGTTGTCATATTTCAGGTGCGGACAGATTGTTATGCTCGGGAATGACGTGTTCCAACTCTTGTAGTCCCGTTCCATTGAGACGACAATCGGGTCTTCTTGGTAGCGTCTCCACGTGGACGAACTGAATAGCGCCGTAGCAGCAATGCCGGCAGAAATGAGAACTAGCCATAAGACTCTGAAACAATTGATCATGCTTTATCTACTGATTTCCACTAATTACAGATTTGTTGCTTTTCACTTCTTATACCATAAACAGGGTTTCAAACCTCGGATTCTTTGGCTGGGAATTTTCTTGTTGGTATAATTTCTGTAGTACCGTGTGAACGCTAAGAATTTCCAAGCTGTCTTTACTTAAAACGACTACTGTATAATATTTCGAGGATAACTTATGAGATATGATGTTAAAATCCAAAAGTAACTATTTTTGACTGACGAGGGAATATTGGACACGTTTGTTCCACTGATTTCCTCACGCCAAATAAATTGAGACCAGTAGGACCAGCGAGGCGTCGCGATATCTACTGCAATGGGAAGCGAGAAGAGATCTGATATCCTGACCTGTTGGGCAACTAATGACTCTTTTCTTGTATAAATCGAAAAAGAGGACAGTCAAGCTATTGAGATACCAACATTGAAAAATTTAAAAATGACCATGTTTCACAGTAAAACAGAACACTCAAGAAAAACATCTGAGGTAACAAAATCAGTTCTCCTTTAGTTCCCGTTCCAAATAATCGCCAGCCCCTCTCCATACCTTTACAGCAGACACGAATTTCGTTTTATTTTTCGTCCTTTCCGTCCTTCGCACATCTGAAATGCATTTCTCCCACGTCACCTTTCAATGGTTAAGAATCATGTAAAGCAACGTTTATGGATGAGCAGCAGGAAATCGCGATTTTAAAATTTACATCCTTGGATACTTAACCTTAGCTCTCAGTCGCGCATTTTCATAACTCAATCAATCATTCACCAATGGCCCTAGAGCCCTGGCCTCTTCTTAGTTTCGTGATTTTTTTTGTACACAGACGTAAGACTCCTTGGATAGGGGATCAGCCCATTTCAAGGCCGCTACCTACACACAGAATAAGCGTACCCACAGACATCCATGCCTTGATTGGGATTCGAACACACGATCCCAGCATTCCAGTGAGCCTTAGACCGCACGGCCACTGTGACCGGCTGTAAATCAATCAAAACCCATAATTATGAAACTAATTTACTCACCGTTCAGAAATATCCCGCTTCTTAGATACCAGATGATTCAATCCGTGAATGGAAGACGTTTCCAGAAACATCACAAAATACATGTACATGGTCTTCAAAATTGTCTTCAATTTAAGTGAAGTGTCACTATGAGTTTTTGCTTTATTTCCTCGTACAGGGGAACTGAAACTCATCGTCCATAAAGCATTTTCCTTGTTAAATCCCAAGCCAATCTGGCGCTGCGACTTCATTTTCTGTGGTCTATGGGTTCTCATTTCATGCATCCTGTTGTGTTATAATATGTAACTTCTTTATTAAGGCCGTCACAACACAACTGTACGTGTATAGCTGTTGAAATAGTTGTGTTGTGACGGCCTTAATAAAGAAGTTAAAACATGAACAGAGTCGAACGTGAATATGGAGATGTGTCTTGTGGCATCCGTATGGAACTATGCAGATATGAGCTGTTTTCACCTTAAACTGTATAAAACATTTTTATTATGCGAATATATAACTGGACAGACAGGATTTTGTTACGCAGTTACAATGCATTTTATTTTCGTTCAATAAAGTATTTACAAGAATTCAAAACAATTTGAGTGCAAACAGTGTAATAATATTTTAATACGCTTTGAAATATAAGTGTTCTAATTCGCACATAAGTTTAATTAATGTTTATTGATTTGATGACATCAATTTCACACAACAACAACCGCCGCTTGTCGGCGAAGTTAGTGCCAAATTTAGCGGATAGATAGTGTCACGTGCTCAGCGCAACGAATCCCCACGGCCGTTAATTTCGGTTTTCTAGACGGTAGCTCCTCAATTATCCTCACGAGGCTGAGTGGACCCCGTTCCAGACGTTCCAGACCCACTACTTCTCAGAAAATCTGGTAGCGCCGGGAATCGAACCCGAGACCTCTGGATCTGTAGCCAGGAACTCTGACCAATTAAATAAATTCAATGAGTAGAATAAATTTTCATCATTTGCATACACGAAGGCAGATTAAGATGGATAGATGCAAACAGAATGTAATAAAAATGTTCGCAAAATTTCTTCCGTATTTCGTTTCAATTGACTGTACAACTACGGTGCTATTATTGAGAAGTATGCAGTGAGAATCCAGTTCTCGTGCGTCTACATAGCCACGTGTACATTTGTACCTGGCTTATATGAATGCAATACCCATGTTTAAGAAGTTACGTAGAGCACTATTATCATATTCGAAATCAAGATTAGTCTAATATGTGAATTATTTATTGTACAAATTACAGACTATCTCTAAGCATGATGGCCATGGCTTTGTTACAGGTTCTAGTCAATTTGTATAGCGTTTCTGAACGACGAGAGACAATTTATTTGGTGATACTTTTGTGATATGCTGACAAAGAGTGACATTATTTGTGAAAATGAGGAGGGGAAAATATTCTGTCTGTAGTTTGTCACGTTCTTAACTTGGCGTCGGATAATCCTCTGCATAAAAAGTACAGACACGCATTTTAGATTCATGCGTATTCAGCCGAGAATTCGAAGAAGGCAACCTGTGAAGACGGTGCAGAACCAAATTACGGACATGTGAAAGGACGAACACGTAATTTGGTCTAGAAAAGCATGGAGACAAGCGCGAAGGTCTCTACACAATATTCGCCAAATTTAGGTATCCACCAAACCAACAAACAGAGGAGTCCGAAAGGGAATTGCGGCAGAACAACCGGTCCTTTAGTCGTACTCTAGGTTTGATTCAAATTGCTCCATATAAGACATGGAATTTAAACCCTCTTTCATTCCGTTTGGTTACAACCAAATTTCATATCTTCACTTCGCTTTTCTTTTCACGACCATGCTTACAATGCAATGATATCTTACGAAAGACTTCAATACGACTCATCCCGTAATGTAGTAAATTAAGCAAGTAAAGCTATCCCTGTAACAGGCCATGGAGGCCCATAGGGTTGTGAGATGTTGAGGTTCCCACATTATCTAGACAGTCGGCTCATAGGTGGCGGTAAGGTTGTCATCCTTACGTACCGGCCGCCATTTAACCCCAGCGTAGTGGGTGAGGTGCTACGCTACGAGCCGGAAGGTCGCGGGTTCAAATCCCGATGAGGTCATTGGATTTTTTTCAGTTGACCTAATCCTTCCAGCCGCCCTGGAGTTTACTCAGCCTCCAACAGAAATGAGTACCAGGAATTAATTAAATACTTTTCTTGGGGAGTAAAGCGCGGCCGGTGCGTAAGGCTGACAACCTTACCGCCATCTTTGAGCCGATTGTCTTGATAATGTGGGACCCTCGACGTCTCACAACCCTATGGGCCTTCATGGCCTGTTACAGGGATAGCTTTACTTCACTTTACTTTACTTACTCATTTCTGTTAGAGGCTGAGTCGACCCCAGGGCCATGGTGCGGTTAGAAGGATTAGGTCAATTGAAAAAAAATCCAATGACCTCATCGGGACTTGAATCCGCAACCTACGCTTCTAGCTTCTACCTCAACGAACTACGCTACCGCGTGCCCTCAATGTAGTAAATACATTTCTTTAATTATTATCATATCGTCGCCAACAAAAGGTCTGTGAACACTTTTATTGATAAATGGTAAGAGAAATCTATTCAGTAATTTGTCACTTTACGCGCCGGCTTGTGTTTTAGTAGGGAGCCGGGATAACGTAGTGGGTATAGCGACTGGCTAGGAGCTAGATGAACGGGAGGGGTCGGAGTTCGAGTTCCGGTAAGGTCTAGAATTTTCTCTTCTCCATGTCGTCTAGACCGGCTCGGGAGTCCACCCAACCTCCTCTCTAGTGAGTACCGGGTGTTCCTTCCCGGGAGTAAAGCGGACGGGGCGTTAAGCTGACCACTTACCTCCAGCTAGTGCCGAGGTCAAGACAATGTAGATCTATACATCCACTCCCCTTACGCCTTTTCATGGCGTAGTGCTTAATTAGTTACGCACAGGGACAATTTTACCGTTACCTAGTATTTTGCTTAACTATATCACGATTCTGTGGTTACGTGACAGTTCTAGGATTATTCGATACTAGATGGCAGCAAGATAACTATTTTTGTGGGAACATTATCTATGTAGTTGTTCCACAGTTCTAATAGATGGTGCTGTTGAAGCAGTTGTCAATGTTGTGTTTGTGGTGAAATTAAAGTTCGTGAGACATTAATTAACTCATTTTTTTATAAATGAAGTTATTCTTTGCTCGTTGGAACTGTGTTTGCATGATCGATGTGTATACTAAGCGGATTACAGAAATAATGTAATCTCACAAACTCTTTAATTGAGCGTTATAAAATGCACCATTAATTAGTGGAATATGCAAGAGGAATGAATCTGCAGACAGAATTTGAATTCGTGTTAAAAGCAGGATACGGTACGTGCTGTTTTCCAAGCCTACATTCTGATGTCGTGTCAGAATATTAAGTATTATGGATGAAATATCAGTGTCTGTTAATATGATATTTTAAGGTTAAGAACATCAATTTTAATGTAACTTGGTAAAGGTGGAGAAGGGTGATATGCTGGCAGATGACCATAACATTTTGAATAGCTGCGAGAATTACTTCTCTCATTATGGAATTTACGTACGGTTGGTAACGTTAGGCAGATGGAAATGTATGCAGTGAAGACATTATTACCTGAGCTTAGTCCATCTGAGATTTAAATTGTTATGGTGAAATTGTGAAGGTATAAATAGCCAGGTAATGATCAAATTCTGGCAGAAGGGGTTCAGGCAGAAGGTAAAATATTATGATCAGAGACCTTAAACTCATTATGAATTGCCTGAGCACTGGGAGGGGTTTAATATTGTACTTTTTTAGAAGAAGAGCATTGAAACTAACTCTAGTAATTATTAAGGCATATTGTTATTAGCTTCATATAAAATTTTATCCAATATCCTTCTCTGAAGTTTAAGTCAATATGTAGACGAAATTACTGAGGATCTTCAGTGTTGTTCGGATTAGATTTTTTTTTGCATTTGTCAGATTCTGGAGAGAAATGTGAGTGCAATGAGATAGTACATGAGCTATTTAGAAACTTCAAAGAAAACCTATGATTCAGTTAGGAGGGAAGTATTGCACAATAATATAATGGAGTTTGGTAGATAAGCAGACTTTAGTGACTGCAAATATTTGTGGTTTTTATAGTTTGAATCTTAGTGTATTGTTTATCAAAATCTTTTATTGAATCATGCTTCAGTCAAACGCTGCCATGGTGCTTCAGGTGTTCCCTGATGTTTCATTGTAGCATGTGATAGCTCACTATGTGTTATCACTGTCAGTAACACATTAACATATACATGCAGTTTACATAGTGAGGTTCTGTGTGTAGATTCTCAGTTGCACAGTATCAAATTGTATTTTAATTGTATGGATTTCCACAGGGAGGGAAGAACTACACTGTTTTATTTATTAATGTAATTTTACTTGTTGATGAACTTATTCTTGCTTATGGTTAGCAGATATGAACATCCCAATTATTGAAAAATAAGTGAAACACCAAAATAACTTTGAAACCAGAATACTGCATATTGTAGTCCAGAGTGTTCTACAGTGAAACATCTTTACTTTTTTGAGAACTAGTTCAGTTAATTGTAGAAGTGTGTGAGGATGAGTCCCATGGGATTGTGTCATCAAATTGGCCTGTTGTACCACTCCCTGGTGGACTGAGAAGGCAAGGAAGCTGAAGTGCTCAAAGAAAATCCAGAGCCTGTGCCACTTTATGCATCAGGGCTCTACTCTGACAAGCCGAGTAACTCCACCTGAGCTGTGGCATTTCCTTTTGTAGAACTAACTGAACTAGAAGCAGAATTCTTCATGATCAGCTCTGTAAAAATTTCCCTGTCCCAAGCCAGGATAGTCCTGCCCTCATTGTCACCTACAGTTTATTTAAGATCCATTTTAATATTATCATCCCTTGTGCACCTCTGTCTTCCAACTTGTCTCCTTATTCCCCTTGATTTGATCACACTTATAATATACAGTGAACTGTGTGGATTATGTAGTTTTCTCCAGTCTTCTGTCTCTTCCTCCCTGTTAGGTTGAGCTGTCCATTTTTAAACACAATCTGGGGTAGAGTATGATGTATTCTGGGATGTGATGACGTGTAATCTGATAAAAATTTACTGATAATTCAGAGGAATATACTAGGTCCATTTTCAGGGCCAAAAGTTGGGCTTAGCAAGGATGTGTCAAGTGAGGAGCAAGTATTTAGACATATTTTAAAGCAAGGAAATAATTTAGACGTAAGTGAGATGAAATAATGGGGTCATGGGGTGTTAATTTATGTGACCTTAAATTTTATAATTTATACAGTTCATCTAGTATTATTACGATGGTAAAATTAAGGTTAGGGTGCCTTGGAAAAAATGGTTCAGATAGGAAAGGAAATGAGGAGCCAGGGTAGTGTAGTTGGTATAGTGACTGGCTATGGGCTGGATGACAGAGAGGGTGGAGTTCGAGTCTCAGTAGCGTCAAGAATTTTCTCTTCTCCACGTTGTCCAGACGAGCTCTGGGGTCCACTGAACCTCTTATCCAATTGGTACTGGGGGCTCTTTCCCCGGGGGTAAAGCGGCCAGGGTGTAAAGCTGACCACTCACCTCCAGCTAGTGCCAAGGTCAAGAAAATGTGGATCTATACATTCACTCCCCCATACGCCTTCATGCTGTAGTGCTTTATTCGTTGAGCACAGGGACATCTTCGTCTTTTTTTGCCTTTTAGAAAAGGAACAGTGGAGCAACTAGCTTCAGAAGGACTTTTCTCCGTGGAATTAGTTTGTTGCTTAATGTCTGTCTTACATGTACTCCTTCTCACCAGTTAATTAGAGCAGTACTGCATGTTCTGGTAATGGAAGACAAGATGTGATATATTTTTGAAACTTTTAAGGGAGAATGTTATCGAATGAAGTTATCATATAAATGCTTACTTTGGGTAATCATTCTGTGTGTTTCAAATTGCTGTTCCACGGGATAATTGCATTTTTTATTATCTCTTGTTGTGTGTAGGTGATCAGAGGTGTTGACGCTACAAAGTAAAAACCATGACCGGAAAGAAAAATGGCGACAATCCCAGCAAACCAAGTGCTCCATATTCTACAGGAACTATACCAAAACATGGCAACAGGCCACGTGGAGTTGATTTTGAAGGTGAGTGATCTGAATTTACATTTGTTTCAGTAGTTTACCTTGATTCCATCTCATCAATTTCAGACAGGAAATGTGGAAATGTGAATTTTGGCAGTTAGCAGGGTCAGAGTGCATGAGACAGTTCAGGGATGCCACGGCTAAAACTGACTTCATGAAACTAGATAAGTTTGGTTCAGTTTTCAGTGGAAGTTACTTTATATTTTACCAGTTTATCACAATACAATTTAAGATTATGACTCTTACATAATAGTTCAGTTGTATAGCATACACTTCACAGATTTACTTATTTATTTTAATTTGTCATTTAATAACCAAATTTTTCAATTCAGTTTCTTCATGTAGTTGTTTGGGACATGTTAATTTTAATGTAACTTAATATTTTGAACTTAGAAACTACTTTATAATTTAGAATTGCAGACCATGCAAGGAACATGTCCATATGGTCCATGTGTCACAAGTTTCAGAATTTCAAATTTATTTAATCATTGGAGAATACGTACCACTTGCCACTGATTGGAAGTTTTGAATGGAGCAACTACATCATAGTTATTCTGGCGTAGCCCTCATCTGTGGGCACCTTTAACCAAATTGTATAGATGGTAATGATGGAGCTTGGTCTCTGACATTAAGGGAGGAACATAGACTGAGGGTGTTTGAGAACAGGGTGTTGAGGAGAATATTTTGACCCAAGAGAAATGAAGTGACGGGAGGTTGGAGAAAACTGCATAATGAGGAGCTTCATAACTTTTACTCTTCTCCAAGCATAATTAGAATGATCAAGTCAAGGAGGATGAGATGGGCAGGGCATGTGGAACGCATTGGAGAGAAGAGAAATGCTTGTAGGGATTTGGTAAGGAAGCCAGAAGGAAAGAGACCACTAGGAAGACCAAGGCATAGGTGGGTGATATGGATCTCAAGAGAGATAGGGTGAAGTGGTATGGACTGGTTTTATCTGGCTTAGGATGGGGACTGGCGGGCTCCTGTGAAGACGGTAATGAACCTTTGGGTTCCATAAAATGTTGGTAAATTCTTGAGTGGCTGAGATATGTGCCGCTTCCAAGAAGGACTCAGCTTCATGTGTGAGGGTCATGAAATGAAGGTTGAGCTGGACAGGGTGTGGGGCTGATGAGAGCTACATACAGGGTTTCAGTTAGAAAACTTGGATTAAATTGGAAAATGTGGTAACACACAGGTTTAACAAAGGGTGAGGAATTTCTTGGCTGGTTGGGCAACCATAAGCTTTTCAACAATGATTCTGCTTCATGAAGTTAATTAACACAGTACATGCTTACAATATGTCATGTATATCTTTAAGAGGAGGTTGAACTCGGGTAATGCTTGCTACCATTCAGTCCAGAACCTTTTGTCTTCTCGTCTGCTGTCCAAAAACGTAGAACTGAGAATATACAAAACTATAATTTTGCCTGTGGTTCTGTATGGGTGTGAAACTTGGACTCTGACACTAAGGGAGGAACACAGACTGAGGGTGTTTGAGAACAGGGTGCTGAGGAGAATATTTGGACCGAAGAGAAATGAAGTGACAGGAGGTTGGAGAAAACTGCGTAACGAGGAGCTTCATAACTTGTACTCTTCTCCAAGTATAATTAGAATGATCGAGTCAAGGAGGATGAGGCCACTTACGCACGTCATGGCTGTACGGCCCTGAAAGAATCCTGGTGCCTGTCTTCACTTTTTCCATCCGGCATCTATCTTCAGGCACCATAACACATATTGTTTTAGAAGGCGAGTTTGTGAGCCTCATGTTCAACCCATATCCTGAATGACCAAAGGCTTCATTCCTTCCTTCGAACTCTCTAGCAAGGGTGACCCTACCACTTGTAACGTAACTCTCCGAGTGAGCCGTGCATGCAAACCTCCCCTCAGCCTTACGGTAGCAGTCCACTGAGACGAATTTTTTTTTGGGGTGGGGGTGGGGGATTAGCTGAGTATTTTTTTTAAGGTAGAGTTTGCACTCACACATTAGTGTGCCCTATATTTCCCGTTTCACCATACGCAGAAGAGGATATTTATTTTGAACATTTAGATGCCTCAGTAACGTCTTCCGCTTTTACCTATGCCAGTGAGTGAGAAATGCGTGCGGGAAGATAGGGATGGATGTGTTTGTTTAATCTTCGGCCTGTGGGCTGCGTGAGAGCGGGAGACCTCGCGCTTTCAGTACTGCAAGGAGCGCAGTCGGTGACTCATCTGTTCCCAGAGATTTAGCAACCGGTTTTAAGTGGCGAGCAACTAGCATGCCAAACCGGCGAAGATACAGTGCCTACTGCAGTGCAGTTTCGTCGCCCTGCCGGGGGAGCAATAAGGGTAAAAATATATTGAGAAATAATTTGTCACCCTTTCTCATTTCGGTGATAAGAGCAGAAACTGAGTTCTGACTTTTGCCACCTGCCGTTTTTTAGGTTAATTAAACAGGTACTCTATCAAAGGTATAGAGCAAAGAGTTCCTGGCAGAATTCTGTATCCCTGTTACAGAAATTTCCCATTCCACAAATCTTGTGTTGTTAAGGGTATGTCGAGATAACATCAGTTCATCAATAAAACGTAGTTTTCTTCATGGGGATAGCGTTTTGGGCATGCTCATACGAGCATGATTGAATCCTGTTCGTGTCAAAACTTTGTAATGTCTCCTGCTGTATTGTTATAGTATCCACCCCCATGATCATCATCATAATCATCATCTTTTTAGAAAGTACAGTGTCCGTCTTGGATACATATATACGTAGTACGTACACAGTTTGCAGGGATGATTATTAATCTGTCTAGGTACGTAGGCCGACATAATTTTATGTCCCAAGTTCCATTGATGTAGTGTTTCTCGCCCTTAAACTGAAGAGTAAAGTACATTTTCACTCTACGGCCATGTTCTTATTACATTATTTAAAAGGGTTCTCTAATAAAAGTTTCAGATATTTAAAAATAATCGTTATGAGGGAACGGATTTGTAGGTAAGAAACATTTTGTTTGAATCTGTGTGGGCTCACGAAAGTCGCCGTAATGTTCAAGTTACTAAGACAATTGCTTGTAGCATAGCGCTGCATATGGCTTAGTATCACATGTTACTGGATCTACTGTCTCAAGTGCAAAACGTCTTACTAAAAGTCGCTCATTTTAAAAGTTTTTCACTACATGTTCCACCAATATGGTCATCATCAGGTGTTTAACGTTATAGTTGAGGAAACTGCTGTGCTTCTGTTATCGTGGTTTCGGTTAATAACTTTTAATGTATGGTCCCCTCTACGCGCATGTGTATTCCAAGTGCTGTGTTATGTGTCTCGGAAATTCTTGAGTAGCGGCAGATTTGGCTTCTCAAGAAGGGCTCAGCTCCATGAGTAAGTAAGTAAGACTTACTTAACTCAAAATTGCGTCGTTCGTTAACATTAGAATCGGCGCATGCGTTTCTAGACGCTGTATTAAAATGCGTATTGTACTTTGATGGTAAGTGAAATAAGTTTTAAAACGCTCATTTCGCCGAATCCGTAGAGCTTTTGTTTAGAGTGTAATGTTTCAGATTTAAATCAGCGGCAGCCTTTGATTGTATGCGCTGTAAGAAGATACACAAGTCAGACGTGTTATTTTCTTGAGTGATTTATTGTCAGCTCTCTGGGAACGTTCTCTTGCTTCATGTGGCTCTCGTGATTCCGTAACGGGACGTTGGGCGTCATAGTTCCCATTGTGTTTGTGCTTCGGCGTTCCGAAACTTAGGCTGTTGGGATTTGTGGAAATGATGAGGCTGTTCTATTTGTTGAAGTTATAAACGTCATTGCAGAATCTGGAGCACATGATCTATCTAGAAAACAATTTCTCTGCACGCACGATATTGTTTCCGTGTAAATAAAATCCAGTCGAAACTACTTAACCCCAGTAACATGAAACATTCTGGAAAGACAGCAACTTTTGTAGTTCCAAGGAACTAGGTTGTGTAGGAGAACGTGCTCGCCGAGCGGAACTGTTATGTAAACGTGCACTATGGATATTTTCCGACAAAAGGTGGGAACTGCCATACCAGCTCGAACACACCTCCCACTGCCGTTTATTTCTGCCATATTCTATTCCTGTTCGTAACTACTACCAGCATTGGCTGCTAACATACATAATGACAGAATAATTGCAAAACTTGGCCCTTTATATATGATTAAAATAATATTTTAAGAACTTCGAAATACTGTTGCGTAGATTGCTTTTGCATATAATTTTTGGCAGATTGACTGACCACTGGTCGATTGAAAAACAAGCCCAAGAAATGTTCTTGTAAAACTTCAAAGAGTCAACTGCGGAGAAGATTCATATTATCTGGGTTACGACACCGTCTTGTAGTCTGGTAGAGGGGTACCGACATTGCGGGTGAATCCTGAAGATGGAAGTAGTGGCGGCACCGAAACCTTGGTGCTCACTGCTAGACTAATACACGGTCATATCCCAGCAGTATGTTCGTGGGTTTTTTTTTTCTGAGCAATTGTGGCGAATATGAATGCACGGATAGTTTTCGGTTGTGTGCATCTGTGCTGGGACACAATTCCCCACCCCAAAGAGAGAAACAGTATGGATACACTATTTATATATGAACCCTCGTTTTCGGCGAACAAATGGCTAAGGAGTTTCTCCATTAAATTGTTTACTTATAGACAAGATTGCCAGTCACGGTGGCCGCGCGTTCTAAGGCATGAACTGTCTTCGCTAACTCGAAAGCTGGGATCGTGGGTTCTAATTCTACTCTAAGGATGGATGTCTGTGTGCGTTTATTCTGTTTGTGTTGTCCTGTGTGTTGGTAGCGGCCTTGCGACCGGCTGATCACTCCTCCAAGGAGTCCTACCGTCTGTGTAAAATATTACGAAACTGAAGAAGAGGCCAGGGCCCAACAAAGGGCTGTAGAGAACAAGGAGCCCCCAGTCTGGATGTGATAATCAGATTCACATGGTCTACGTCACATGCTTTGTGGAAATGTTACCGCAGTTACATAACTTAAAGTCTGAAGCATGATATCC